TGCAGCCTCGCGGGGCTGAGAGGAGCCACAGGGCTCAGAGTGCTCCAGAAGTGGATGCTGGAGAGCAAAGGGCTGGGGGTCAGCAAGATGGGAGTCTGCAAGACAGAAAGAGAGAGGCAGCTGTGAGAGAGCCCTGCCCTGGGAGGAGAACACATGGAATTCCAGCCACAACACCCTCAGCTCCTGCAGCTGCTCAGGGTTGGCTCCCAATTTCAGGAACTCCCATTCCCTCCTCCCACCTCCTCCTCCCTCCCAGCCCCATCCGGCTCCCCCTCCCCTGGCTGAGCAATCAGCCCTGTGCCAAATCCTGCTGGAAGCTCCAGCAGAGCAACTCCTCCTGCAGCACAGCACACAGCACCTGCAAGGGGCTTTGGAAAACTTGGATTATGAGCTCCACCGGAGCAGCCAGTGGGCACATGGCTGGGGGACACAACAAGAGAGGTTTCCATCCAGCTCCTGAATGTTCTGGATGCTCCAGGTTCACCAGCCAAGCACTTCCCAAGGTGCTAAAAAGAGCAACTCCACTTGCTTTTTTCCCCCCTGTCTCCAGCCAGTTCAGTTTCCAACCAGCAGCTTCCCTACAGTTTCACTCTAATTCCAACTTATTACAGGGAAGAGATGAAACAGATACAGAATGATTTAACAGCCTAGTTGGATTCAGTTCTCTTCCAAGTTTTCCATGAGACAGAAAAGCTTTACTTTCCCACACAGAGATAACAACCAGATGAAGCAGCTGCTCTTACTGCTGCTCAGTCACAATCCTCTGAGCCTAACTCAATGCCTACTACTAGAGTAACAAAAAGCTGCTAAACACTCCCCTCTGTGGTTCTCTGGTTTTAAAACATTTACTGAATGGTAAGGGCAGAGTTTAGGGTGTCTGAAATAATTCAGTATCCTACTGGCAAGGTTTAAAAGGATCTTGTTGGTGCTGGTTTGGGTTTTGCCTCCACCTGCCAACCCTGTGCTGACTTGTATGGCTGACACACCACCTGGGCACACTATGGGGAGAAGTTAATACCAAAGAGTGACTACAACTTGTGTTGGTAAAGAAAAAATATGGGAGGGACATCCTGAGTTTCAAATCTCCACGTACAATCAACTCATTATTCCTTTTCCACTTGCCTTCCCTGACAGACTATTCACTTTCCACTTGCCTTCCCTTACTGATTTAAAATATAACATAACCACTATTGTTACTTTAAAAAAAAAAAAAAAAACCAAAACAAAAACCCAAGCAAGCAGGAAGGGAATTAGGTTACCTGAGAGAAAAGTGCTGGAGTAAGAGAAGCAGTTGGGAGAGAAGGACTCAGAATGCCCAGAGGACTTGGATCACTGCCTGTAATGACGAGAGTAGGAGCCAACTCCAGCCCTTTGGGTTTCTTAGATCTGGAGAGGTGATTGGCAAATTCCTTCTCCAGCACGGATGAATCCTGCTCTTTGGGCTCTGGGGATTGATGCTGAAGGCTCTGGGCCTGCTCCAGCTGCTGAGAAGCCACAGACTCTATGTCTGTGTCAATGTCCAGGTCGGGGTTGGAGCTCAGGGGTGGCGAGGGGGGCGTGGAAGGGACTTGCAGGGAGGGAGACACTGAGGAGATGGGTGGAGTTGGGGTGAAGCTGGTGGTTAAGTTTGGCAAAGGTGCTGGAGGTTCAGGGACAGTTAACTTGGGGAGGACAAGTGTCTCCAAGGTCTGGAGGGTCTCCTCTGAGCCCAAGGGGAGAGAGGAGGACGCGGTCGAAGTGGCGGCAGCAGTGGAAGTGGCAGAGACTGTGGAAGTGGTGGAGACCAGGGGGGCAGAGGGAGGTTTTTTGGAGGGCATGGTGACAAATTTGATGACAGAGGGAGTTGGGTCCTGAGCAGGTTTCTTCTCCATCAGTTTCTCAGCTGGATTCTCAATCTTGATGGACCTGAAGAGTTTCACGCTGGAAGAGTTGAGGGAGTTGAGAGTGAAGGAGGAGTAGAGGCCTGAGTGGATGTAGTCATTGCGGCTGGAGGACTTAGCACACGACTGAGCCTTCTCCTTCCCACAGTTTTCCACATCCTTTGGAGCACTGTTCACCTCTGCAAACCCAGGCAGGTCAGGGTCTCCCTCTATCCGGCCCACAACCAGTGGATCCATGTTTAAAATCTCTGGGTAGGAGACAAACTTGTACACAAACTTCTTACCATTCACTTTCTTAATGATATTCTGTGGGTAAGAAGATACATAGATATATATTTAGACCTTGTTCGGATTAATTTGCTTCCTACAAACACTGCCTAAAATAGGCAGAGGAGTTAAAGGCTGTAATCTTTCATCAAAAAAAAAAAACACGTTTCTTTTCCTGGTTTCAAAACACACTTCATTCCTGCAACTCAGTGCTGCTCCCAAAGTAGCATTCCCAGAGCTCACAGACAAAACAGGTGAGTTTAACCTGACAGTAAAGACACTCACAGCAGCCTTAAAACTGCTAAGCAATTCTGATCAGCATCTTAAATAAAGAAATACCCATTACTCCCATCAAAGATCACTGCTCTGAGTACACTGAGGGTAATCTGACAGGAGAACCTGCAGAATTAAAGGGGTTTTCCACAGCTTTGCAGAACTGGGAGCTGATCCTTCAAATCAAACCACCCTTACTCTTAATCAGATGATAATCAAGGAAAATAAGCAGCTGAACAAGTCAGCAGAATGTAGGCTAATCAGCTATTTCAATACCACAGAACAGCATCTGTCAAACTTGTTTTGCTCCTAAGTGAAATGCCACACACAATTTGGACCTATCCTTATTTATCATCCAGTTATTCTTACTGAGCTCTCTCAGTACAGAGCCAGATTTGTGCCACCCAATAATAAACAGCAGCAACTTACCACCTGCCACAAACTGGCAGGTTCCTCACCAACTGGGGTTTATTTCTTATCTCCTACACTCACACAATAACTTGTGGGATAAATGGCTCAAAGACATTAGCTAAACAACTGAAGCTTCTTACTCTGCTGGGCTGAAATCACCGAGCACAACAGAGATGAAATGCTGAATACACAGAGAAAAAAAATGAAAGTACTTTGAGCTGCTTCACTGAAAATCCTTATTTTGAATCCTATTTGGAAGCCTCTTTGTAGAGATAACTGCAGACAAGACCTCAGGGTGGTGCAACATTCACCATCTCAATCATCAACATCTTCCATCATGACTTAAACTGGAGTGTTGAGGATTTAAACTGGAGTGCTGAGGATTTGAACTGGAGTGCTGAGGATTTTAACCCTTGCAAGGCTGTATGTTTGTGGAAAGGGGATTAGGATTCAAAGCCAGATTTGTATCAGCAAAGACATAAAGACACCATCCTGCACAAAGCCACTAGGAGCCTCACCAAACACCAAGCAGAGGAGGAAATGCAGCACCACGATAAACAAAACAATCGGTGCTAACCAAACTAGTCTAACTTCCTTCAGCCTGGGAGCCAGAAGTGACACCCCTTGGAGAGAATGAAAAAGGAAACAAAGCTGATTAGGCAGGAGCTGGTAAGATGGATAAGGATTTGAGGTGGATTTAGAGACTTTGTTACCTTCACGTAATAGTATCTGAGCGCTCGGCTGAGTTTATCATAGTTCATGCTGGGCTTGTTCTTGCGGATTCCCCAGAGCCTGGCCACCTCCTCTGCCTGCAGCAGCTTGAACTCGCCGTCGTTGGAGGTCCAACAGATGATATTCTTGTTCTGAGGCTCTTGGAGGAGCTGGAGGAGGAACTGCCACAGGGTGATAGCACTGTCCATAGCAATAAGCTGAAACGCAGAGAGGCAGATAAGAGGCAAATTAAGAGCAGAGCATTTTCCTCCTCTCCCTACAAGGGGGTATTGGAGCAGAGATGTTCTTTCCAAAGCCAGCAAGAGTAAAAATTATTAGTCACCAGTCGTGAAAGATGTTCCCTGCAGAACAGAGAGGCTGAGTGCCAACCCTGTCGTCTCCTCCCACATGTCAGTACTTTTCACATGGGTTATATTTAGCCTCATTTAACTAAATCAGGTCACTTTGGGTAAGTTGCAGTGAGTCACTACCCCAAAAAAAATGTTTCTAAGTTGTTCCATGTTCACCCACTCTGCCTGGTACTGCTTTGTGAGAAACAGCTCAGGTACACCCAGGTAAGGATCAAACCACCCACTCACCTCCTCCTTTCTGTACCTGCAGCCACCTCCGACCTCGGAACCTCTGAGACAACAGAGCAGAGCTAGGGGCAGAGGCCACAGCAAAACAACTCCATTTGCCTTCACTTCACACTGCTGCTTCTCTGCCAGCAACTCCCTCATCAACCCCAACCTCCTCTCTCAAATCTTCCTTTCCCAGGTATCATCTCTGGTTTTTCTCAGAGAGTAAACATGAAAGTAAATAAAATCATCTCAGTGCTGCCTCTGCTTTTCTCTAACTCCTGCCATGTCTCACCTCCATCAATGACTTAGGCTGAGGCTTTAAAGGACTGGTATTTGCCAGCTACTCCACTCCCAGTGTGGTTTTCCTGCACTGAAGCTGTTATGTATAAACTCATCAAGAACAGACAAGGCAGAGATGCTGTTTTCCCTTGACCATATGTGACTAAGTATTTCCACTAATATTTTTAAGGAGAATGCTAATAATTCTGTCTGCACGAGGGAAGTATAAGCTACACTGGGAATTAAACCAGATAAAATATGAATTCAGTAGCTCATACAGATTCTCTTAGTCCAGAACTGTGACTTCTAGTCCAGAACTGTGACTATTAATGCAACTTAAACATCTTCCTATGAAAGCAAAA